AAAGGTTCCAGTCTTTAGTCGCAGTAATTTGACACTTTCTCTTTTTCTTTTAGGAACGCTCTGACACGATCGACCTCTCTGACAGTTCGCTACTGGTGGACATCTCCGACGCTTTAAGTGAACGTGATAAGGTGAAGTTTACGGTGCACACCAAGTCGTCGCTGCAGGACTTCAAGAAGAACGACTTTTCGGTGGTCCGCCAGCATGAGGAGTTCATCTGGCTGCACAGCAGTCTGGTGGAGAATGAGGAGTACGGCGGATATATCGTAAGCGGGCCGTTGACGAAAGCTTTCAGTGTGTAATCTTTGATCTCTGCCAGATTCCACCTGCACCGCCGAAGCCGGACTTTGACGCCAGTCGGGAGAAGCTGCAGAAGCTGGGCGAAGGCGAGGGCACCATGACCAAGGAGGAGTTTGCGAAGATGAAAGCCGAGCTGGAGGCGGAGTACCTGGCCACCTTCAAGAAGACCGTCGCTATGCACGAGGTCTTTCTCCAGCGACTGGCCACCCACCCAAAGTTCCGCAATGATCCCAACTTTAGAATATTCCTCGAGTACGAGAATGACGTAAGTTTTGGTGTTTGAGTATTCAATGGGTTTTTTCTAACAAACGTATTAATTTCTAGCTAAGCGTTCGAGGGAAGAACAAACGCGAGAAGCTGTACGGCCTCTTCAGCTCAGTAAAGAGCTCCACGGACGGCCTGGTGCTCAGCACAACGCAGAAGGACATTGACCAGTTTTTCGAGACGGAAAGAGTGTACCTGAACGACTACTTCAACAACATTCGCAATTGCACGCTTAAATCAGACGCTATGACCAAGAGCCACAAAGGTAGGTGGAGGTGATTGTTTGCAAACATCCTTTTGACACTCTTCTTTTTTGACAGCCGTCGCCGACTCGTACATCAAAATATCCTCCGGTCTAGTGCAGTTTGCCAACTCGCCCGAGGTTGCGCCGACGCCCGACCTGGCCAAGGTTTTTCTCCGAGTGGGCGATGCTCTGGAGAAACTGCGCAAGACGGAAAATCGTGTCGCCTCTGATGAAGATCTGAAGCTCTCTGATCTGTTTCGGTACTACATGCGGGACACTAGTGCCGCTAAGGTAAGCAAGAAAGAGAGACTGATTTGATTTTGATTGTGGTTTTGTTTTCTTTAGGAACTGCTCAACCGTCGGTTGCGCTGTTTGGCCAACTACGAGTCGGCCAATCGCAACCTAGAGCGTGCCCGGGCAAAAAATCGCGACATTCCAGTGGCNTCTGTTTCGGTACTACATGCGGGACACTAGTGCCGCTAAGGTAAGCAAGAAAGAGAGACTGATTTGATTTTGATTGTGGTTTTGTTTTCTTTAGGAACTGCTCAACCGTCGGTTGCGCTGTTTGGCCAACTACGAGTCGGCCAATCGCAACCTAGAGCGTGCCCGGGCAAAAAATCGCGACATTCCAGTGGCAGAGACCGCCCAGACGGAGGCCTGCGAAAAGTTTGAGGGCATCAGTGCGCTGGCCAAGCAAGGTAAGAGATTGAAAGAGAGTGAGAGTGACCACCTGTTTGCTAATACCTTTCTTTTGGTAAAACACCTGTTTGCAGAATTGACTGACTTTAAGAAGCGCCGAGTAGTTGCCTTCCGCAAGTATCTGGTTGACATGACTGAACTGCAGATTAAACATGCAAAGGTAAATCGGTTTATTGGCAGCGAAGTTTCAACACCTAACTTTCAATTTGCTCCACTCCGAAAACAGTCACAAGTTCAGCTAATCAGAAACTGCATCTCAACACTGAATGATGAGCTATTGACAGAGAACTGAATGATATTCTCTCAGCGCCTACTGCCGTAACGTGTGAAGACAAAACGCCTCTGAAGAATGCATCACATCATCGTGTACTTCAATCCTTCCTTCCTTTCCTTCCTTCCCTCACTTCTACAAATGTTTTATTTACCCGCATATAGTCAACACTTTTTTCCTTCTTCCTCCCCTTTATACCTTTATTCTTTCCCTATTACTTCCTCACACACACACCTTCTTTGTGCGATTGATTTTTCTCCGCCTCGGGATGACTGCATCAAACTTCGTTCTTCCTTTCTTCTTTCTTCCTTCTTTCTTATTTAAATGTTTTATATTTTACCTAAATACTTCACTGTTTCTTCTTGTTGAGGGTTATTATTGTGAATGAACTGCTTCAAAAAAAATGTTGTTGGGTTATCTTTCTTGATGGAAAATTAAAGAGAGATTTGGATCGGCTTTCTTGTGCTTACGTCTTCTGTGTTGTGCGGTGGTGGTGGTGGCCAGGGNAGGGCGCCAGTAGTCCCTGCCCGTATTTGTCGCTCAGCAGCAAAGGCTCTGCCAGGGTCACGTGAGTAGCACAGCTACTTTGTGCTGTCTGCCTGGTTTGTTTTGGATGCTGTCGCTGTCTCTCTCGCACCGATGGAAGATGCCTTCGGTTGAAGAGTTCCTCAGATGTTTTGGGATTAAATGGTGTGACAGGTCGTCATCGTCTTCTTCTCATCACACGTGACACCATTCTACTACTGATACTGAAGCTGGCCTGTCATCAGCCTGCATTCCGACTCTGCAGACTCTGAAGACGCTTGAATAAACTTTATGGTGGGGCTTCGCGCCGAAGCTAATCGCCGATTTGTCACTCACTTTCATGGCAGATTAAGTTATGGCGAGGAGGAAGAGGCTGCAAACGAATTTTGATGTCAAGTGACGAATGCCGAGCAGAAGTTTACGAACGATAAAACCGTTTTCAGTTGATGTAATGAATTTTTATGATGGAGCTACTACGCGGGTGAAGATTTCAGCTGCTGATTTACGACTGCTGATTCTCGGCGGTGCAGTGGCAAAACCGTTTCCATTGTCGGTAAGTTATGGAAAGTTAGTTGGTCGTGGAAGATTTTACATCTTCCTCTCATACTTCACATACATACTTCATCTTCATCTTCTTCAGTGGCGTATTTATAGTCTCCCCTAACCGGCGAGCTATTAACCTCCTTTTCTCGGCGCGCACCGTTGAATCAAAACTGAAGCTGACTGGTAACCTGAGATAAGGCAACACAGTGTGACAGAAGTCTCGCAAGTTTCTGCCGGGGAGATTATGTTAGCGATCAGTCATCGCTAAGCATCAACAAGACGAGCGTCTCTTCACGCTCTACACTCACTCGTACTTCTGTGCAATCTGGTGACGATTCCGAAAATAGTTGACATACCTCGGCAAGTGTCCAAGAATAGGTGCGCACTGTACAAGATCTAGTGCAAGTAAGCATAAGTAAGTATATTTATAATCTTCATCTGCCACCGCCGCCGCCACTGACAGCTAATTGACTTACCACTTTTTCGTTTTTGTCGTTGCACAGATCAACAACAAAAAGCAAACATTGTCTCCGCTTGTTCTTCCATCTCCTCCTCAACTATACACATCATTTCACCCTTTCGGTGTCGGCATTGCTTCAGAGTCTGTGTTCTCTCGGTGTTCGCCTGCCACCACCACCTACGACTGAAAGAAAGAATATTCTAATTAATTGCCACTGCTGCCACCGGTTTCACTTGCCAAAGAGAGAAGAGAGAATTGCGCACAGCCCACACAGTCGACGACTTTGTTCTCTTGCTCACGTTTTCATTTCGGCTGCCATTCGAAGACAGCTAAAGAACAGAACATGAACTTACCTCCGCTGATAAACGTCAATTCGCACAGCTTTGTTGTGATCATTCCAGCGGCGGGCAGCAGCGAACGACTGGCTGCCGTCTCTTCCGGTTCTACCGGTTCATCATCATCATCAGCCACAAATGGCTCTGCACGAAACAGTCCGGTTCGATTTGGAGCACAGGCGACTGGTGGTCAGCCAAAAACGGCCGCCAGTAGGGCCAGTGCCGAGCCGAAGCAGTACCAACTAGTGTGCGACAAGCCGCTCATCTTTCACACCGTATCAGCCTTTCTCAGGCAAGTGATCATTTTGAAGTATAACACTTTAATGGTTTTTTCTCCAGACTAAAGTGGATCGACCAGATAATCGTCGCCGCGCCGGCAGACTCGGTGGCCAAGATGGAGCGCATCCTTTCGCCGCTGGTCTCTCGCCAGCAGAAGCGCTTCGACTGCATTCCTGGCGGCTCCTCTCGGCACCGTTCCATTCGCGAGGCACTCACCTTTATTGAAGAGTCGAGGCGACGAATTTCACCAGAGGCGCCCGCACTTCCTGACATGGTCATTGTCCACGACGGCGCCCGGCCCATCATCGACGGCGACACTCTGCACCAGCTGGTGAGCAACTGTGAGCAGTGGGGCGCCGCCGGTGTCGTCTGCCGCCTCACCTCGACGATCCTCTCGGCAAAAGCCGTCAACCCGCAGCTGCTGACGATGGGCACCGCCCTCGACCGCGGCAAGTACTGGGCCAGCGAGACGCCGCAGGCCTTCAGGTACGCCCTGCTCGTCGAGGCCTACAACAAGGTAAGAGCTTCAAGCTGATTTAGAATGGATGGTAAGCCTCTATTCCATTGACAGTGCACCGAGCACGAGCTGGAGCACAACACCGAGTGCCTGGACCTGGTGCAGCGGCACACCAAGACCACCGCCCGGCTCATTCAGGTGGACCCTAGTCTCTACTTTAAGGTCACTTATCGCAAGGATCTCTACGCGGCGGACAACGTTCTTAAGGGTGAGAGATTGTGACATCATTTGAAACACACCTTTTACCTTGTAAATTCTTACCTAGAACGGCGAAACGTCCTCCTCCACTGCGACTTCATCGAAAAGTCGATGTCAGTGAACTTTGCCTTCATCAAGCAGCTGAAGGACGACCTGTGCTTCAACTTCAGCGCCGTCAACTACTTCAACAATTCCACGGTGGGCGACAAGTACCAGTCGAGTGCGGCGCTCCATTCCACTGGCGTGGTGCACATTCTCCTGCACTACTGCCATTCCTGGGCGGACATTGTCGTGCGCTCCAATGAGAACAATCTGGCCAACTACGACAGCCTCATCTACGTGGTTGTCCTCAGTGAGCTGGTGCGCCGGAAGGCGGACGGCAGCGTTGTCGTCCTCGATGGCCCCAATGGCTCGACGATTTCAACGGGTTCTGCCGCCTTCAGAGAACTAGACGACAGCGCCTACCCGCAGCTGATTCAGTGGACTCGGAGAAGGGTTCCGGCGATCAAGAATTTTTACCTTATTTTAGCCAATAGTGAGGTAAGTTTGGTCGTCTAATTACATATGTGGGCTGTCGAGGAATTCTAATCCACTTTCTAACTTTGTTACAGAATCTAGTGGCGGAGAGTCAGCGAATTCGCAACACCGTCGTCTACCTGTGCAAAGAGCTGCCCGTGGAGCTTTCCGGGCAGTGTTTCTTTATTTAGGCCTTTTTTCTACTTTTTTATGTTGTTGAAATGGGAATAACAGTGCAATGCAAAACAGCAACACAAAATTCGAACAAAAGGTGCATTACAGCTGGTAAAAGCCAAATGCTCATCCCCTTTTCAGAGTCATCACTTGACACGGTTTCCATTTTTGGTCATTTCCCTTGATCTAATAAGGCTTTTAATTCTGTCTGACGACTATTTTCTACAAACGAAAAGTTTCAGCGCTGATGATGGCCTCAGTCTCTCTATCGCTGATTCTACTGATGATAATTATGATGGCTGCTGTCAAGGGCTCCTCCTCTTCTTCCTCCTGCTACAAGACCATTCCCGAGGCTGAACGTAAGAAGTGCAACGACAAGTACCCCGAGAACAAGGGCACCACCTCAGCAGCAGAGTCAATGACGAATGAGCAGTGCCAGGCAACTCTCGACGGCGTGCTCTGCGACCTGGACAACGCCTGCAAGTACTGTGACCAGGAGTACGTCCAGAGAAGTAAAACGGCAGGGAAAAACCTCCTCCTCAGAGAGTGCAAGGAGGTGCTCGAGGTCGACCTGGAGGCGATCACCGGACGATGTCCTTCTCACCTCCTGCTCTACATTATCCTCCTCACGGTACTGCTGGCTGCCGTTTTTGTCGCCATCATCGTCTACATCTTCTGCTTCAAGACGGCGGAGGACGAAGGAGATTCGCAAAAGCAGAAGAGGAAGTTGAAGGGCAAGGGCACAAATGCTGGCGGTGGCTACTCGGTGGCCAAGAGCAGTCAGATGGAACCGGGAGGAGCCGAATCGATCTCTGGCACTGGCCCTCCTCAGTCGCAGTTGCAGCAACAGTCAAGCAGCAAATAGAGTTTAAAACCAGGCTCCCCAGATTCACTCAGACACACTGCTGTTTAGTGATCATTAGAGGTGAAAAGTGTGTAGGGCCTCTCTTTCTCTATCTGGCTGGGGGCACTCATTGTGTTTGTTCTGCCCGATCTTTTCAGTGCTGGCAAGTTTTTGTCAGTTTTAAATAAAATGTTTATATTGCTGATAGTTTTGGGAGCTTTCAGTTGGCTACAGTGGTAATCCTGACAAGTGTTTAAGGCGATTATGAGCTTGCAGGGCCTCAGGGGAAAATCACCTGTGGAGGGGACAGTCAACTTCTTAGATAGCTTCGAAAAATAGTAAGTTCCTAAAGTGAGCTGCCAGTCTGAGCACACGTTTTTGACAGAGAGGAACACGTGGCTGACTCAATATGGTTTTCAGTTTTCTGACTTTACTTTTGACCATGTTTGCAAAAACTATCATTTCTTTTTTATCTGTCATCGACCCATCATTTTGGACACATGGATTTTTTGTTTTTCTCCGGTCTCTCACATTAAGCTTAAATCAGTTTACTAAAATATTTGCTTTGTTTGCCCAATCAAAAGGTGCTTGGTCAGAACCGAAGCTTTTTCCATCGCTTTCGCCTAAACA